ATATATATATATCAAAAATATGACTGAGATTGATAGATATGAACCTTTAACTTCTGAAAAGTGATAAAGATTTGTTTTTAAATTTCCCTAATAAATCATTTTTATCACAAGTTATCTACCATCACCTGAAGAAGTACCATGTTAGTACCGGAACATGAAAATTTTTGTGCAACGGTGTAATATGTTTTTATTGTAATATATTGTAAGAAAAATATTATAATAATATTTTGCTCTACTTTGTATTGAGCACTTTTTTTAAAAGTAAATGCTATGAACTGCGGATTTTTCCTCCATCTGTTCTTTCTCTCATTTGGGTATATATATATATATATATATAATTTCATTGAATAATAGTGACATATCTATTTATTTTTATAATAATCTTTTCTAGTTTCTTGATGTTAAAATGAATTCATCAAGGAATGTGCCGTAGTTTTTTCCTACCCAAGTACTTTTGATCTCCTCCCAGATCACCATCAAACATATTTTAACTGTGACAGTTTTGATGGTGAGTTTTAAAAACATATGTAATTGTGCTCTGATATAATTATTTTAAAATTTTAAAGTTATCCGTTGTAGCTATGGAAATGTATTTTTTTTTATATTTGCAAAACAAGAGTCAATCAGAAATTGGTAGAAAAATAAAAAGCCATTAAATGTTTCTTAAATGCACTTCAACATGTTTGTTCTCATTATCTTAATTTAATCATGGCTTCACATAAATTAAAGAAGAGTAAAAAAATAGAATAAAGTAAACTGATAGTAGTCTGTGCATTTCCATGACATCAAGGTATGATGGTGTTACCAACCATTACCTTTATATACTGCTATCCTATGACTTTTGGCACATCGTTGTAGAATGTCAGCCACTGACCAGGTCCCACAATGCATTATTTCTTTGAGCCTTCATTTTATTTTTAATCTGTTCCGGGCAGTGAAGTCAGGCAGTCATGGAATGATGGGACAGCCTGAACCAAATTTGGATATTCTGATTGCAGACTTTAATATCGCTTCTGAGCAAATGTCCTTTGGAAACGGCTTAAATCCAATCTTTTCTCTTCTCTTTTGTTACCATAAACGGACAGAAACAATGCACACCTTGATGGCTGACAGCGAAAGAAGAGAATTAATGCGTTCGCAGAAACGCTAATCTCCTAAACATATCTTGTGTCGGTGATGAAAGATGAGAACCAATGAATTAACCTGTTACCGAAATAGTACTCAGGAAATATAGCGGAAGGCTAAAGTGGTACTCAATTATTATACTTTGACAGTGGCATCCCCAAGATAAACAAATATTCATACACACACACACACACACACACACACACACACACACACACACATATATATATATATATATATATATATACACTTATTGATCGACATGATACCTGCACTTGTCTATATTGGCATCAGTTAAAATCAAAGATGTAATAATTTATATGTTTCAACAAGGAGCTGGAACAGAGTTTGAAGCATGAATGATGAATTAGCTTCCTCACAGGGTAAAAGGAATCATAGAAATGCACTTTATATATATATATATATATATATATATATATACACACACACGTCTTTAATAACATTTGCCTTAAAATACATTTGATGCCTAAATACACATACTATATATATATATATATATATATATATATATATAATAACTAGACTCGTTTCGAAAAATCTCGAATTTTTGATTTGCTAATAATCAAATCAATCTGGAGGGAAAAAAAGGTTTTAAAAAAATGAAAGAGCTACAAACATGAACTTCTGCCAACAAAAAAAAAATCGCACAGATACAGGTCTGAAGCCCAAAGAAAAAACCCCAACACGAGTAAACAGCTAACTAACAAAAGAGCTCAATACAACAGTAGAGCAGACCTAGATACACCTAGTGAGCCAGACAAACCTACCCAGGTTTCGCCTAAACGGATCGTCAGGGGAAGCTGGCTAAAGAGGCAAAGAGAAACGCATATTTATAGGCGATAGCTAAAATTATACCACGTGACCAAAGAACCACAAACACAAACGTATATATATATATATATATTTAAAAACAATTTCCTTAAAAAATGTACTGCCTAAATACACACAATATATATATATATATATATATATATATATATATATATTGTGTGTATTTAAGCAGTAAATTTTCTTTAAAATAAATGTTATTAAAGACAATAGACATTTTTGTTGATTAATTTTATTGATCAGCTTGTCCAAATCACTAAAAATTCTTCTCAGATCAGGAGGAAATTTCATCATTTGGAAGAAATATTTTGACTTTCTTAAGTCAACATCAGGGTAGGTAGAAACAAATTATGAGTTTTGTACAGTTGATGAGTGTAGTGAGATAGGCAAAATGTATTGTGACCTATATATATATATATATATATATATATATAATTTTAAATTCTCTCCATTCAAGATAGTAAAGCCACTAAGACACAAAGGGTTACAGTGTGTGAAAGAATTAGACAACAGAAACATTAAGGAC